AGGTGACATGGGAGTAAATTTCAGTTCTGCTACATACTGTGCAACCCTGGGCAAGATACCTAAGTTCTCTGAGCCTGTTCTTATCAGATGTAAAATGGGACTGTTCTGAGGACCCAGGGGTGACACAGTGAGAGGAGCTCTCACCGAGGCGATCCTGGTTCACACAAGGCCTTCATCTCTCAGGGAGACCCCACGGGGCCAGCTCCAAGGGCGGCCAAGTTGGCTTTTCCATCTTATCTTCAAGGCCTATCCTCAATTCCTCTCCACCTTGTTGACTTTGGGGGTTTAAATAAATCTGTCAAATAATTTTATCTTCAAACATTGATGAGCAACAGTGTTTAAAAACAATCACTTAGTTTTTCTTTGTCAATTTGCCTATAAACCCATGTCATGGGTCTGTTTTTTCATTAAAGATTTGGGGAGGGGTTCACCCCAGACACTATGTGTTAATGTAATTTCCCTTGTTCCTTACAAGCAGGACTCATCTCCACTTTTAATTGAGGTGAGGACCACTTGGTAATTGTTTTAGCTCCAAGTATGACAGAATTGGCTCAGAGCCAGGGTGGTATAATGGGGGTGGGGGTGGGGTTTGGTGTCAGACAGGCCTGGATTTGAATTCTGTTTTCACCACCTATTCACTTGTTTTAGACACCAAATCTGAGTCTCTTTTTGCTCAATGTAAAAGAAGGATGATACCCCTCACTGAGTTGGCAGAAGGACTAAATGCAGGTATAAGTGCCTCGCATATGTGAGAGACTTAATAAATGCTAGTGCTCTTTCTAGAAACAATTCTTAAACCTCATGAACTTTGTTGGAAACTATTTAAAATAATTACATGGCATCCTGGAAGGTATGTAAGTCCACTTTGCATTTGAACCACGGGAACCACTTGCATAGGGAAGCCTTCTGGTAATTAACCTGGGGTTGGGTGATTTTAAGCCAGTTTCCATTCTGCTGCAGAAACAAAAAAGATAAGACTGGAGAAATGCTATTCCTTTAATTGAAGGAAGACTTTTATGTTCTCAGGTCTATTTTAATCTTAAGTGCCGATTATGCCTCATTCTCTCCTGTTAACAGACACTTCTGTAAGTGATCTGCAAAGGGGGAAATATGATTCTTACATAAATACTCTACCATGAGAAATTATCTTATTACTTAATATGCCAAAAAACTAATAAGATAAAGGAATGGTATGTGTCATTTTTGGACAATATTAAAACTTGATTTTAGCTCATGGAAATAAAGTGTGATTTCCCTTTATTATTCTTTTTTTCTAGGTAGAACAAAGGCAATGAAGGGTGTAAGGATATTATACGGCTGTGTTCTTTGAGATCTTGTGAAGACTGTGGAATGGATCTAGCAGGATGGTCTCAAATTAAGATTTTAATGACTTTTCTGTTTAGAAAACACACTCTTGCTGTTAATACTGTCTTGTCAGGTATGATTTTTGAATTTTCAGGTGAAAGCAAATAACCCCGTTTTCTATTTAATTGTACAAGTGCTCGCCTCTGTGTGTTAGCATGTTTATGTCTGTTAAGGAACACGTGTATAGTATCTACAGAAAGTGAGGGCAAACAATGGTAAGAACTGGAAATTTCCTGAATCATCCACGGCAAAAGGTGATTAAGTGCTGAATTTTGACAAGCTTAGGGTTGCAGACCCACATACTGAGTAGGGGCTTCACAAGACTTCGGGAGTTTCAAATGTACCTTTATATTTGCCTATAAACCAACGTCAAGTACTCACAAATGTACTTTTAAATCACAAATGTTCTTTGGTGTTTAAATGTTTTATTTACAAATGAACAAATAATGATTGATGTTGATGAAAGAAATTTAAACAGGACTGGAGCAGGTAAAAATTTTTGACTCTACGCTCACTCGGTCGGTGTTTGACCTTTGGTGACAGACACGAGCAGTTTCGGTGCTGGTGGTGGTGTGGGATGGCTACAGGCACAAGCACATGCTGTTTTGCGCTCTCCCCTTCCTATCACTTTGACAGAAATAACACTAAGTAAATGCCTTCAGCCTTCTCTGGCATGCAATTTTTCATCCAAGCACAATAGAATGTACTGAGGACCTAAAAGAAATTTAATAATCCCTGCATTCTTGTGATTTGTTAGGCCTTTCCAACAAACACCTGCGGAAACTACACAATATTTGCCTGGAGATTTAAGGTAACAGGCTTACGCTTGCAGCAAGATGAATGTTTCATTTGATGTCAGGCAGCCCCGTTGTGCTGGTATTGGGAAGTGTTGCCGAGCAAGTAGAATGTCCTTCTATGGATATTTTAAAGACCTATTTAAATACTTACAGCTTTTTGTAAAACTTTCAGGATAGATCTGTTGGGGGTTGGGGAATGAGCTGTATTGAACTACTAAGATTCCACCAACTTCCAATACTCTGAAGCAGTGTATCCATTCACTTAAGTGCACTAAAATGACACCTTTAGGAGCAGGGGTGGTGATGATAGATTTGGTAAAAAAAACTATCATAGGTTTGGACGCAGTATTTTTAGACCCTATACACATGTTCGTGAAGCTCTGCTATTCCCGTGGGCAACTATTAGTTTGAATACCTAGTTTTCTTCAGAAAAGAAACACAGGGGCTTGTCTTAGAGAAAAAACCAAAATAAAAATCTTTAAGTTCAACTCTGTAAAGTTCGGGCTGACAGTTTTAATATTTAGCTTGGTTAATTAAATACTATTCTTTGCCCTGAATTTAATTAGCCCAACCATTGAGGTAATTTAATATAATAATAATAAAAAAGAGGCTAATGAAAAGTGGAAGAGAATCTGACTATTCCTTCATCTGCCTCATTGGGGCATTTCTGCTTCACTGTGTCATTTTATGGATGGTATTGTTTTATGGGGGATTATGAATTTTCAATTAGTGAGCAAATGAAAGTGAAAGACAGACAGTAGATCATCAATGAGTGACTGTATCAGGAAATCACTAAAAAGCTTATCTGTAAAGTTCAGGTCATATTTCAATATGACTTCATGATACCTTAGGCAGCTCTTCCCTCCTAGGTTGAGTTTAAATCATGCTCTTTATTCACTGTATGAATAAGTCCTTGGTTAGGGTTTCTATTCAAAGGTAAGAAAGTCAAATATATGCTGCTTCTAAGCAAAAATGAGTGCTGGAATAAAAACGTGACCTTTCTTGTTTAGCTGTCACTTCCAGCACAAATGGACTGTTTCCTTTACATTGCTCAAGCTCTGCATCTCACGCTGAGGTGCTGTGCAGGAGAAGCAGACTCAGGTTCAAATCTCAGCTGGAAACTTGCTGGGTTGTTCTAGTTACTGAATCTCATTAAGCCTCAGTATTGTCATCTGTGAAATGAGGACAGTGCTATCTACTTCTCCCAGGTTGCTGGAGGAGAAAGGGAGAGAATGTAGAGGCTGTCTTGACACATAATCGATGCTCTGCAAATGGTGATTCCTTTTGACCTGAACACATCTCAAGTGTGCTTATAAATGAGTAACAGGCACGAAGGTATCATAATGCCAAACATAATGCCAACTGTGCCAGCTTGTTATCAACCAGGGCAGTGTTCCTCACACTTTAAAGTACGAGTGAGTCACCTGGGATTCTGGTTAAATATAGATTTGCATTTGGCCTGAGAGTCTGCATTTCACCATCTCCCAGATGACATTGATACTGCCGGCTGGAGATTATACTTTTAGCGGCGTGGAACTAGGGCGATGACTTTTGAATACTGAATTGACTTTTGCAACTTAGCAAAACAGAATTTTACTTTACCTTTTTTTTTTTGCTTGTTTGTTCAATGATAAAAATATTGGGGAAATCTGAAGATGCTACAGAAAAAAAAGTTTGAATAAACACATTTAAAAATCTGGGAAGCTCAAATCCATTCTACACACTTTCATTTATTGTCTGGACAGATAAAGTACAAATAATTCAAACACAACAAGATTATGGAAAAAAACAGTTACAATACTTTCCCTCAGAAATCATCTAAACTAGCAAGGTTAACATGAAGTCATTCATTATAACTAAAGTATACAACTGCCTGGTCCTAAGATTTTTTTTCCTTTTTTTTTCCCCCAAGTGTGAACACATTATAGAGCAGAGATTTTGGCATGCCTTTCCCACTAATGCTTACTTAGCAAATGCATCAAAACTTTGCCAGCAAACTGCGTTCATTCACAGCAGATGATGTAAAAAGGTTTCCCTGAATGTTGAACGAGTGTTCTCTGAACTGAAATCTGTATTTTCTTTTTAAATCAAAAAGAGGAAAAAAAACAGAAAAAAAATATTTAAAGGAGGAGTCTATGATGCAGCCTTGGTTTTCATTACCTGTCTACACTACGACTACCACTACGAAGTTTGCCTCTTCAGTGTGAAAACAACAGTCTGTCTACATGCACTTAGTGGGTTCAGCATGGAAAGAAACGCACAAAATAAGCACAAGTTATAAATAACCATAACGTTTTATTACCATTAAGACTAAACTTGTATTGAAAAGATTTTATATAACAAGACAAAAGCAATAGCAAATTTAACTATCAACTAGATTATGCATAGCGAGTAACTGTTTCTATTACCCAGGGAAGAGCATGAACCCTTGTCTTTTTTTTGTTTTGTTTTTGTTTTAAATATATAACCGTACAAAGCACAAACATACTAAAATGATCAGTGCACTGGACGTGGGAGAATGCTCCCTCAGTCATTTTGTTCCCTTAGCTCTGTTTTGTTTTCCCCAATCTGAATTACATTAAAATAAAGACCCAGTTGGTTTTATTTTTCTACTGTGCAGTAAGAAAAAATATTCACAACAAACATGACAATATATCAAACAATAATTCTACACAAGTTACCTTGATACCTCTTTAACTGTCACTTAAATATCATAAGAAAACATTTTAAGACATTACAAACAAAACTAGCCAAGTGTTACAACTTATAATAAATTAACCCAAAGAAAAATAACTTTATATATATATATTTATATTATATATACACATACACACACAACAGAATGACACAATAATATGCTTCTTCCCATAGTTTAAGTAAACAAATAAGTAGTCTAGCCAATCTAGCTATATTTGATCTCGGCCATAGGCATCATCACATCAGCGAATAAATAAATAAGTGTTTCAAGCAACATAAACAGTGTTTCAAATGTACCAACACAGCCCAATTCTATCAGCATGGGCTACAAAGTGAATTTGAGAATTCCTTAATGAATCGAAAGCAAATGTATCTTTTGTTTTCCTCTCCTAAACACATTACATTTAACTATGATACTAAGATATGTAAATAATTTCGTAGCACCTACTGCTCAAACTAAGGAAGTTTTAGATCAAAAGGAAAATTAATCTTTTAAATTTTTGTTCTGCTGACATCCCATACTGATGACTTAAAGAAAAACTGTCTTTCAACTCATCTCCTTGCTTTTGGGTTTTGACTGTGGGGAACTGTGGTACCCTGGGTAGAACGAACACTCCTTTCCCCTAGTAATTAATAATTTTTTTATTATTATTACATGCTATGAAAAGATATGAAGATCATCTGTTTATAGCCCATCCTTCAAAAAACAGTCTACGAATCCAGTTTAAAACACACATCTTGATCTCTAAAAAGTTACCAGTGCAGTATGAACGCGACAAAGTTGTCAATTTCCCCTAAATTAGCCAGTCAAAATATTTTTTTCTCAAATCCAGATTCTCTTGTAAAAATTCTTTATATTTTATAAAAATAGATTTTTCTTGAAACCCATTTTCAGCAAAGAGACCACCTCTTTGGCAACAATGTTAATGTTATTAAATTGTTAATGTCATCAGGTATCCCCCTGGCCCCCGTCCCCTAACAGAAGACTGTTTTAGTTCACATGATATAAAAGAAAAAAGGAAAAATAAAAAAATTTGCAAAAGTTTTTTTCATTTTTGCAATTTTTATTATTCCTCTTTAATTTGTGTGGGTTTTTTTATTTTATTTTATTTTTTTACCAATCTGATTGGATCAACATTTTGACAAAAAAGAAAAATCTTTTTTTCTTTCTTTGAATCCCATTACTTTGTAAAAATTGTTTTGTTATTTTTTTTGTTTTTTGATTTTCTTCTTCAAATGAGTGAATGGTCATCTTAAAAAGACCCACCTTCAAGGAAGGTAGTAAAGTTAGCTGGCTGGGTAAAAATCCCTGCACATCGCTATCTATGTATATTATATTCAACAACGACAGCTATGAAAGAACATTCAATGCATCAAAGGTATTTTTTTGTTTTTTTTCTTTTTTTTCTAAGCATTATAAAATCCTTTCCTGGTACACCTCAGGATAATCCAATGTTTTAATACTTAGGCAACACTGGCTTATAAAGTCCATGGTTTAATATAAGCCTTGAAAGGTTTGTTTCTCTCTCTTTTGTGTGTGTGTATGTGTGTGTGCACGCGTGTGTTTTGTTCATATATATTTATATATATATTTTAATAATTAAGGATGGGAAATTCAGGACTTATGGGCTTTGTTGGTTTTAAAGGAAACTTGCAACACTCGGTCTCCCAGGCGGTACCCGTTGAGGCTGGCAATGGCCATGGCGGCCTCGTCATAGTTGGTCATGGTGACAAAGCCAAATCCCTTGCACTTGTTGGTGTTGAAGTCGCGGATGACCTTGACGTTGTTCACTGCGCCAAAGGGGCCGAAGAGCTGCCAGAGGACACTCTCATCGGAATCAGGGGATAAGTTGTAGACAAAGATGCACCAGCCTGTTCCTGTGTGACCAGGAATGTTCATTCCCACAAGGCTTGTCATCCCGTCAATGGTGATGGGGGAGAACCTGGGGGGACAAGCAGAAGGGGGGACTGGTCCAGACATCAGTCTGACCAAGGATAACACACAGATGCACAGACACAGACACGGGGCAGAGGGCTGAGTGAGTGTTTGCAGGAGAGTCTTCAGGGTTTAAAAACTAAAATACAAAAACTAATGTCTGTGGCATTTCGTCTGATGGGAATGGCTAGATTGGCTAAGGCACGTATATGCCAAGAAAAAGGCCTAGGTTAATTCCTAAGAACCACGAGGGACTCCCAGAGCAAGGCTCTATCATAGTGCTATCACAGAGTACATTCACAGGGTGTTCCACCCTGCCCCTCATCCTCCCTCCCCACAGCAGACAGTGAGCTCTTGGGGAAGGGGCTCAATTTCATTCATTCTGTCACTCTATATATTTATTCAGTGGGACGCCTATGGGAATCTCACAGACATAGGGACATGTAGAAGACCCATCACTGTTTTTTTTAATTGAATAAGTGAATAACATTGGTGGAAGTCAATGCTTGGAATAGGAAATTTTATTTACTATTTTAACGGAGATTAGGGGATGGCTCTAGAAGTGCTCAAGTCTACCCTATTTGCAGTCCCTTGACTTATGGTTGTCAAAAGATCTCTTGATATTATTGAGGACAGACACATGGAGAATGAACAGGCATATTATATTATTAATTAGATGGGTGGCTTATGTTTCACTTAGAATTTATTCAAAAGAGTTCCCCCTCCAAAAATGAGCAATAACTATAAAGATGTATCATTCTTTGATGCTACATTACGTGGGATTCATTTCTAAGTGTTATAGGAGCAAGATTTCAAGTGGTTTGTGCATTTATATATCTTGAATCAATGTACATTAAAAATGCAGAAAATTGTTATTTACCCTATTGCAACTTCTTTTATATTTGACTAAGAAATCTCAGTTTCATTTAATCTTGAAAAGGAAAACAACCCCTCATATTCTATTCACTGTCTGATATAACATATCCATGTGTAATTCACGATGGGCGCATCAGATGAAACAAACAGGTTGCCAGTGCCTGCAGCAGGAGAATATGTTAATATTTTGTTTTATACCAAATGTATACAGGGATTTTGACCCTATATACTATTATCTTGCTTTTCATTTGATTTTTTTTTAAGTGTGGGTAGGAGAAGGAGAGGAAGCAAAAACTGAGGAGGAGATGGGGTAAAGTGTCATCTAGGACTTCTTGAAAAATAAGCAAATATTCTTGAAGATTAAAAAGTCCTACTAAAGAAAAGCTCTACATCTAGAATTTTGACAATCAAATGGCTGCTGAAGATATGCTAAATGTAACTCAATGAACACTATTTTTGGTATTATTCACTAAGTCAATCTTCCCTCTTGCTTAAAAACAAATAACCAGGTGAAACCAAAAACATCATCATACAGATTCTTAGAAGGGCAAATCCATGACTAATTGTTATTTGCATTATTTCTGAACACTGTCTTCTCAACCGGTTCTCCTCTAACTGAATAAATTGACTTCATTCAAGTTTATAGGTAGAGAACAGTTAAGTATTTATGATAAGGCCGAAAGTCAGGGTCAGCAAAGAGGTTTCAACTCCAGTTGGTTACGGTTACCTGCAGCACTTTGGTAGGAAGGACTCTGGGTCCAAATCTGGGTTTAATAGGAAGACAAGAATGAATGCTCTTATCAAGTAGTTTCGTTCACTATGGGCGGGGAACTGGAGGAGGTGGCAGTCACGCATGCCGTCGCTGGGCCCTCCCTGGCCTCCTCTGTGTGTGAGCATCTCTCTCTCTATAATGTTTCCTGCTACTTCACTAAGGTTAGAGGGGAGCAAAGGCAGGGGACAGAGCTGGGAAAGATGTAAAATGCGTAGGGATAGGCAAGCAGTGTGCTAGACACGTGGAGCTCACTCACTCCCTGGTACTGGGACTGAGATTGGAGAGACTGGCACCCTGAGAGCGAAGTCTGCTGTCAAGTTATGTCCTCCACTGTGTGCCTGTTTCCACAGTCGGGCACTTACCATGCATGGCCAAGTGGTGAAAGAACTGTCTTGTATGGGGATGTGATGCGAACTATTAAAGACCACATCTCCTTCCCTTGACTGTAGGAAGGGGAATTAAAGTGTGCAGCTCTACTGAGCAGGATGATGAAGATGCTATGTCCCTAGTAGCTCACTGGAGCTTATCAAAAGCACATTTGGGAATCTCACGGACACAGTGATAGAATGCATTCAACTTCTTGAGATCTGGCTTTCAGACTAGGTGTGGAGCAGCCTTGTGACTGCATTCAGAGATCCCCAAAAGCTTTGATCCTTATTTGACCCTATTTGAGCTCACAAACAAGCTTTAAGTGAATGAAACAGCAAATTTAAAACACGTATACATATATCATCAAAGGAGGATTTATAATAACCATTAAAACCTGTAATAACAACAACAACAAAAACAAACCCTGGTTGAGGTGCACACAGATACACTTTACTCTCAGGTTGTGCCCTGAAATGCACACTGAGGGGGTAGGGGCAGGAGACAGAAGGTCATCCACGCATTTATTCATGCTTTGGCCAGGGGCTGGTAGTCCAAAATCTAATTTTTTCACTGACAATCATAAGATTGTCAACCATGATTAACAAAATGTTCTAATTTTGATTTGCTGGAATTTGCCCTCTTAACTGAATCTTGGCATTGCTAATGTAAAACAGTTGCTCTGCAAGTTTGCAAAATCAGCTGGCAGAGCGGGAGTCTTCCCCCCTCAGGGAAGCTGCTTAGAGGACCAGATTAGCAAGGGCTGGTAGCTGTGGCACCTGAACCATAGGAGAAGCCCACCTGCAAATAAAAGAAAAAGTGAAACACACAAACAAACATTGTGTGCCCTAAAAGAAACAAAACCAACTGAAGTCTGAAATTAAAATTAAGAATTTGACATGCTGGTGGAAGAAAAAGGAAGAATTAAAAAAAAAATTAAAGTTAGTGAATTAAAAAAAAAATCTAGCCCCAGTCTGTGCCAACACGGACATCTGGCAATCTGTGGAGTTTTAATTACCTCTTTACGCCATAGGCCATATTAAGCAAATTGTCCAGCCTGCAAAGAGAAGGAGGGTCTCTGGGTTAATGCCTCACAGATGGCAAGATCGCTCAATGGAACTATTAATAAGAATGCTCCATTTTCAAAGAAGAAAAGCTCAACAACTTGCCCCAGTGCTAAGGAGACTATCCACCAGTAGATCCCCCCCTTTCCTGCCTCCTATTACAAGTAATTCATGTTCAGGTCAATGCTAGAGTTTAAAGCAAGTGTCTAATGAATCTCCCTTTCTTTCAAGGTCTGAATTAATCCCACTCCCCCCACCTCTCAGAACATTTGTGTGCATTTTATTTTACATTGTGTGTGAAATTGTTAAAAAGAGGCGGCTTCTTAAGTTGTTCACATTTTGTTTTAATTAAACCTGTGAATAAAGGTCTCTGTTTCATATTGACAATACACGCGCACACAATGCATATAGAATGTATCTTTTCTCTTAGTCTAGCTACATTAACTAAATCTTTTTATTAGACACATTTTTGGGGGATAGGGAGAGCTTTGGGGTTAAGATTTTTAAAACTTAGTTTCTATTTACAACCTGAAAGCTCTTCCCAGTGAACTGCCATTATGTTATAATCTCCCTCATGCTCAGTACCTTTTGGGGACAAGCTATTCACACCATGGGGCAGTAGTAACCATAGTTTCCACCATTAGAAGCCTGCTGGAAAGGCTTTTTACATAAATACTGCATGGGCTCTCACACAAAATAAAAATTAGATGACTTGGACTCTTCACGAAACCATTAACCATTTCAGATTCACAGGGCATGGGAGGGCACTCTGCAGAGGCTGATTTTCCTTCTCATTGTGGCCACATGCAAGGGCTGACTCCCTTCCCATGTGATGTTTGAAAAGGAGAAAAACCCCTCATCAAAGGGAAGTTAGGGCATAATTATTTAGAATTACTATGGGTAGGCCAAGAATATTCTTATCACTTGCACAACAGAGGCTGTTCAAGCTCGTACTGCCTTCATGGCGAGAAACCTGCCTTTCAGAAATGTCCCAGGAGGAAGGAAATGCCCCACTGCACCAGGAACTTCCAGGGGGGTGGGTAAATAAAGGAAACACTATGAAGGCTTGGACAAAGTCTTCCTCCTTGTCTACCAGAGACTGCTGACTTAATAGTCGGAGTAAAGAGCGCACAGGAGAGAGGACCGGCGCGCCTGACCCGTCAGAGTCACCTGCAGGAGAAAGGGAGGACAGGCTAACCCACTCTCCCCGGCAAGGGTCTGCCTCCTGACCTTTTCTTTTCTTTGACTTTATTAAAGCCACTGCCTTAGCCTTAAGTCTAAGACACTGAATTTGGTCACATCTGTGATTAACTCTTCTTGAAACTGAATCTTCTTATTTGGTGAAGTGCAGGAATTTTGTTTCAACCAAAAATCTGAAGTTTAGCCACAGTCACGGTGGTAAATTGGCAGGGGGCCTGGATTGGCATCTGACCCAATCCTCTCACTTTATGAGAGTGAAAACTGAGGCTTGAGGGAGGGAGTTGTGCACAGCGATTGCTGGGGGCGGAGGTTCTTAGCCTTGCCCCATCCTCCAGGGCCATGGGCTTTCCTGGCCCTTGCCCAGCCCCTACCCAGGTAGCAAGGTGAGTGGGCCCATGGGCATGCCTACCTGAACCTCTGAGCCTGGTGGTGAAGTGGGCCAGGGTAGCGCCGGTTGGGGGACTGGTAGAGCTGAGAGAGCAGGGCCTGGCTGGACTTCTGGCTGGGGTTGTTGGCAAACTTCACAGTAATCGGTTCTGTAGCACCGCTGGGCTTCTGGCCATTCAGCCCTTTGATGGCTTCTTCTGCCTCAATTCTTTTATCAAAGCGGATGAATCCCACCCCTCTGGACACTCCTGGGGAAAGGGAAAGAACCTTCATAAAGAGTGAACAAACCAAACTGGTAAACATCTCCAGGAAGAGATGGGCTGGGCCCCAACAACATTCTTGGGGAGTCAGCCCACCAATGGGGCTGGGGCTGAGCCTGGCTCGCTGACTGTCTCTAGCCCATCAAAATGCATCTGCCTGCACTTCCGCCATCATAGCTCTGGACAGGTGACTTTCACCCACAGAACACAAGCATCTCTCACATCTGTCACATCTAGCCCTCGATCACCATCCTGCTCAGTCCTTATCTCCCTTTAGTTGCTGTAACTGATCACCCACTGTCTGGTTTCTCATCCTCCAGTGGGTCCTCCAAACCTAGCAACTAGGTAATCTATTTGAAAAGCAAACCCTGAACACATTACACCCTTTAAAATCACTTCCTATACCTTTTTTGTACCTTTTCAATTTCTTATTTTGTTTATGGTTCCTGTTCATTGTCTCTCACTCCAAACACAAACTAACAAACAAACAAAACCCTCCTATGGCTCCATGTGGCAAAAGATAAAGTTCAGAGTTCTTGGAGTGGCATTTAATGCCCCTGAAGATCTTGCCCAAATCCCCTGTTGGGCCTCTGCCAGCCGTGCAGAACCACCAGATGTCCCTAGGACAGGTTGTGTTCTTGCTTGACTCCGTGCCTTGAGCTGCGCCCTATTCAGCTATGCTATAGGATACATCCTATCTGTCTAGAATGATCTATTCCCACTTCTTGCCAGATAATGGCAAGTCATCCTCTAAAACCCTGTCCAAACTTCACATTCTCAGTGGAGCCTTCCCAACAATTTCCACCAGGCATAGCATGCCTTTTCCTGAGCTCTCACGGTGCTCAGACAGTCCCTAGCAGGTACTCATCACACTGGAGTCCTCAAGGACTGTGCCTCCTTCACCCCTGGACCCAGGGTCCCTCTGCACAGTGTGTGTGACAGAGGCAGCTTCAGTGAGGGTTTGTTGCATAAATTAAATGATAATAATGTGATGGGCTGCTCCTAGGGAGTGTTTTAAATTGGGATCAAGTTGGGACAAAAACATTTTGTCATTAAAATGCAACCCGGGGTGCCTTACATTTTTTACTGAGAGGTGGTGGTTGCCCTTCTTTGGTGTGGACAAAGTACCTCAGTACTGGATCCTGGCTTCCTATCTCTGCACTGCTATGAACCAGCTGGACTGAGATCCGATCCCCCGCTTTGGACCTCTGTTTCCTAATGTGTGAAATGGGACAGTCTGAGGTTCCCTCTATCTCTATAATGCGCTCATCGGTGCTAGAGCTATAGGTACAGGTCCTTTCCACACACCGATGTAAGGTTACTGGGTTGAGGGTTGAGAGAGACTTCAAAAGTCATATAGTCCCGCCCTCAACACGAGGCCTGAGTCATCCTCACAGCCCCGCCGAGTGGATGAGCTGCTGCCAGAACTGCTCCCGTGATGGAGAACTCCTGCCTCCCAAGGTGGCCCATTTTAAATGTGGGCAGTGGATTGAGAAGAAGTCTTTCTCCTGCATCAAAAATCTATCTACTGGTGACTCATATCCTTTACCCTAAGTAACCATTACCCCTCTGCTCCCATTGGTCACAGGGCACTGTCTGGTGACATAAGACACAAGGAAGGAAATGACAAAGAAACACTTAACCTGTGACTTGATCAACCAGGATTCGTGAGGTGATGATTCGGCCGTATTGTGAGAAAAGCTGCTCCAGTTCCTTCTGTGTCATGGTTTTGGGAAGGCCGCTAACGTAGAGGTTAGCATCCCTGATTGAGGCAGAGCTCGGACGGGCATATGAGACCTGGGAGAAAGCAAGAGGAGCTAAATCCATTATAGGTAACACCCTCCGAGTGAGACTGCGTCAACAACCAAGGAGAGAGCGCCTCGCCTATCATTCTAACACAGGGTGTCAGTTTAAATAACTCAGGAGCTCAGATTTTTAGCTTACTCTTGTAATAGTAATGAGAACCAGGAGAACAGCAATAGAGGAACAAAAGGAGAGTTGCGGGTAACTTAAAACAAATGCATAGATAAGGGTCTCTAAGTGCAGAACAAAATAGCTACTGTATGGCAGCTGTTAAATGCAGAACTACCCACGCCTGGAGTTCTGAAGATTTACCTCCTGGGTGTGGGTGTATAGATGATTTACTGTATCCAACACATAATAATCTTTGAATAAACCAAAAAAAAAAAACCCCATAAAATTCTGCTCTGCAGATTTCTCTCCTTGCCACCCTCCCCACCGCACTCCCTTATTCTTGAGCACATAAAAGCGATCAGGTTCTCTGCAAGATTTTTTATGTTCTGTCCTTTGTGTTGCTCCAATCTGTTCCCACAAGGTCTGCTCTTGCTGAATGACAAAGTGCTGGTGAAATGGGGCTGAATGAACATCTGCTTGCGAAACTGGATATGTGACCTTGTCATAACATCTGCAAGAACCAGTTGCTTTCGAACTTGGAGGCGGAGCAGATAAAACCACAATAAACTAAATGAGGGCACGGTGGTGGAGAGGCGGTGGGGAGAGGGCAGTGCGAGAGAGGCGCGAGCCTCACCGATGGTTATAATAACTTTGACTTTGTAAATTTGTCCTCCCAGATCTCTCAACTGTTTTTTCCCCCCAAAAAGCTAACACAGAAGTGTAAACAGATCTGAAATTCCATCTGCAAGAAGCCAAGTCTGTAGCAGTACACATAAGCAAAGCAAACCCCAGCAGTCATTAATTTTAGACTTTCATTTACTTATTTATTTTTTAAGAAAACAACATCAGACGTTTGAAATATAATTTACAGCTAGTCTAACAAAAGCACTTTCCTGCTAAAGCTATTTCTGGGGCGGTTATGGCTCAGAATAGATGATGAAAACAGTCATCTCACAGCACATCTGACAACGCCGGACAGGAAGGGGCCTATATGCCTTAGCATTTTATGTTTGGGTGTTTTATTTCATTTATAACCAATTCACAAGACCTGCTAAGACTATAGGGGTGAGTGTGTGTGTGTGCACGCACACACAAAAAAGCATGTGTGCAAAAGGAATGGTACATGTTAAACTGGACCTTCAGCATCTAGAAGTAAGCCTCCAGCAGCGAAGGGGCTTTGCGTCTGGGGTAGGCTCTAGCAATGAGGAATGAGGGAGGAGCAGACCCCCTCACCACGGCACTCTCCCCCTTTCCGTGACAGAGATGCCAGACGCTTCTATGGGTTCCACACCCACAACTAGATGTTGACTCAACAGACAAACACTGTGAGTGGCTGATCTGTCTCACTGGCCTCCTTCTGTTGGGGCAAGGCAGCTCGCCTGCAGTGTCCGCATCTTCCAAAAATTCATCGGTGGCCTCTCTAGGCTCGTTCCCACAACACGGCTGACAGGCAGAGGGACCTTTACATGGAGGGCTCCTGTATGTGCATTTTTGGGGAGGTGGGGGTGAAGAACCAAGAGCCCTGTGAGACTGCCTGGACAGGGTGCCACTCCACACAAGGCTCTCGTAATCCCTGTCCTTTAAGGGATAAAGTCTTTCTGGTTATAACCTTGCAAAACTCTTTTGGAGGCATGAGGAGGGATCAGTAGGGAGAAAGAAATAAAAACATAGTGATATGTCCATGGTAATGAGGGTCACCCTTGTCTTACCCTTGCCAATTACTGACAAATTATCTGAATGACCTTTGTGTTCCCCTAAAACATACCCTCCTACCTCTGTGAGTTGGCTCATGGGGAAAAAATTTTCCACCTACTTCTTTAGGTTCAACTCCTACTATTCTTTCAGACTCAGCTCAAGTGCTTCCTTCTCTAAAGAGTTTTCCCTGATCTCACTTCCTCCTAAACCCCCTCCAGCAGGGCTCTCATTGAGGCGCACCCACGGTACTTAACCTGTTCTGACCTTGATTCACCATCTCGCCATCTAGTCTGCTGATCTCCTTGAGGTCATGGGCTGTATGTGTGTGTCTTATTTAGCTCTGTGGCTCTAGCTCCCAGTGCAGAGCCTGATACCCACAGAGTACTCAACACCTACTAAAAGAGTAAATGAACACCCACAGATCATAGTGAATGAGGCTGACATTAAAGGCTCTTTGGGGTTAATTGCAGCTTGGATTCCTGAGAATTAATGGGGAATCACCGAGAGGAAAGCATCCAGAATCACAGCTGTGTTTCCCTGCTACGCTAAGAGCTAAGGGATAGGTTTCCAACTCTCCAGTGTCTGGGGCTGGAAGAATTGAAAGAGTCTTCTAGGGCTAGATAGCACTTAGAGGCCTCCTCTTCGCAAACATTTCCCGAGGGTCTGCTATGAGCCAGGCACAGTGCTGCACGCTGGGGATATATAACAAGCAAGAACAAGGTATGGTCTCTTGCCCTAAAGGAACTCCAAGTGCAATGGGTGCAACAGGCAATGCTCAGAAAGTACTTAATCAATGAGTTAAGTGGAAGAATGGGTTAGGACACACGTGGACCCATTACCACAATGCCACAAATGTGTGCTATTCCAGGGCTATGTATAGGAAGGAGACAGAGCTGAGGTGGGACTGGTGGTGGGGCAGGTGGTGTGACCGTGTGTGGTGGGGTTAGGCAATGGCGGCTTGATGATACTCCTCGTCTGCTAGGACCATCAGGAAGATGAGCATCAAGGACTTAGTGTAGTGCCTGCCTGGCATGCAGTAAGTGCTCAAAGGATAACAATGACTTTGATTCCCATTAGTTTTGGGCAGCCAGAACTGGGGTCCAGAGGGGGGCAGGCTGGGACAGACCTGCTAGGAAAAGCTGGCACTGGGAAGCCAACTACACAACCAGAACCATTTCCTCAAAGATGATTCTGACAGAGGAAGAACCTCAGTCACGGAGAATTACTGCGATAGATCCCCAGAGATAAACCTGAGCCACAAAGCAGCAGCAAATCCCAAAGGTGATCAGCACCCTGCTTATTCTCTGCCAAGTCAACTCCTGCTGCTTAGTTTTTCTTTATTTAGAACCTTAAATCTATTGTTCTCTAAGTCACCTGTCCAGGAAACACATAGGAGTGGGCAGAAATATGAAAAAAAAAAAAAAAGAAGAAAGAAAGAAAAAAGGATCTTCCCACATTGCAATATCTAAAGTTTTCAAGTCTCCTCATACATTTATTAAATCCTCGCCGAATGACTACAGGTGGCAGGCTCTTGGTTAGGGAGAAACATTTCTAAAACTCCCAGTTTTCAGCTCCTGCAGAGAGTGCAGCATTACTGGCTTGTTAACCCCACTGAGCCCATGGCCTAAAGCCTGGGGCTCCCAGTGCCTGAGGCAGTTCCCTGGAGAAGCCTGTGCCCAAGCCCATGGGGATCCTGCTTGCTTCCAGAGTCTCTGAAGACCAGACTGGCATTTCTAGGCCAGCATTGATCCTGCTCTGGCGCTCAGAAAGAGCTGGAAGTGGGGTGGTCACTCCTCTGGGTGAGGGCGACCCAAAGGCAGGCACTGGTGAATGACTTCCAAATGGACTTGAGGAAAGATCTGTAGCCCCCCTACACTCCCCATTCCCCCCCATCCCTGCAGGTGCACAGCAAGGCTATCCCTCCAAGCCCAGAGCTGTGAGCCCTGACTGCGGGCCAGCTCCAGCACTCACTAGCTGTGTGACCTGGGGAAAGGGATTCTATGTTGATAAGTCTCAGTTTCTTTACTGGTAGAAAGGAGGATTGTCCTTTGATGGGCTATTATAAACCATTGAGATAATAGATTGAGTGTCTAGCACATACCTAGAATTTAGTAGATACTTAGCAAACCTGATTGCTGATGAGTCATACCGGCTTTTGTTGGCCAGCCTGGGATGCTAGCCCTCACTGGGACACGCTTTTCAATTTTACCACACAAGCAAACATTTGGAACACTGCCAGTGAGTTCCTATACGTCCTGGCTCACCCTGGTGGGGTCTGGATCATCCTTTATCACTTCAGTGCCATGAGTTGTTAACTCGAGCACATTCCCACAGACTCCACTGCTTCCGAAGGGACTTCACAAGGCTGCTCAGAGAGTCTCCCCAAGGTGGCCAGGCAGGCATTGTCATTCCTCTCGGGCGGGAGGCAGGAACAGGGCCGGGGGCTGCTCCTTCCCACACAGCACTCTCAGGCCTGTCACCTGTGCACAGCCAGGGCTTGGCCTGGGCGGGGGCGAGGGTCGGGAGGAACAACGTGGCCTGGAGAAAACCATTTCCTGAATCATCCGGCAACCCCACCCCTTGTCTCACCTGCCACGGCCCAGAAAAGGGAGGGGACTTAGAAAACCTGATACAGGCACGGTCTCGGGTGTGATTAGGTAAATAAGAGGAAAAGGCATCTTTCTCTGCCCTGAAAGGTGCTCCTTCAGGAAAACACTGGCATTAGAAGATGAACGTTCATTCAGTCCAGCCCTCCCTCAATACTTCCTGTGTGTCAGGGCCTGTGCTGGGGGCTGGGAGTGGCCCTGCCTCAAGGACCCCCGCAGTCCAGTGGGGGAAGTATGCAGACAAATGAAGGGTGTGGCGCAGAGGGCTGTTCCTGACGGGAGGTACTGACCGGGATGCTCATTTTACACTTCCTGTGTTTTGTTCCATGTGGAGGGAGCCCCGGGGAGTGACAGTCTAGGCCTCTTTGTACCCATTCCTCTTTCTTCTCCACGGGAAATGGAGCGCCTGCTCTAAAGAGGCTTCGATGCAGGAAATGGGCACGTGAACCGCACATGTTGCCTGCTTCCTTCCTTCTGAGAGTCAGGTGACCACCGGAAGCACACTTTCTGTTCCTGGCTCTCAAGTTCTACGGGAGCAGGTTATGCTCTCATATGGGGAGGCTTGTGGGGGCCAGGGTAGCT